CTCTCTCAGCCCTACCTCCCTCACAGGGGTTTTGGTGTGGGGAAGGGAAAGGGGATTGTAAGCCGCTCTGAGACTCCTTCGGGTAGTGAAGGGTGGGGTATAAATCCAATTTCCTCCTCCTCCTTCTTCCAATCCACGTTCAGTGCACTTTGCAACTGGAGTTTACTGTTGTGAAATGGCAAAATCCACTTGCAAACGGTCGCTGAAGTGGATTGAACTGGCTTTATTCAGCACACATGGAAGCGCTCTTGGTGTCTTGCACGGGGCTGGCTGGTTCTTGACGAGGATGGAAGGAACCGATGGGGGGGGGTTTGCTCTCACCGCCCCCCCCCCCATTTCCTGCCTCCTTCTGCCCTCAGTAACTTGTGGGGCCCAAATGGTGCATTGTGGAGAAAGCTTCTATGGGACGGAAATAACCGCTATGGTCAGACGCCTGAGGAATTTTATCGTGTCAAGTTTCTAGCCCACATGGCCCTGGATAATGTATTTATTATTTATTAAATTGGTTCTTTTTTTCTTTTTTTTTGACCGCCTGTTCCCGCCTGCACAGGGCTCCGGGCAGTTCACAACGATTTGGTTCGTTACAACGTAAAAGGAGTCAAAACCATAAAAACACAATGTTTAAAACATTCAGAAACATTTAAACATTTTAAAAACAAGATGGTACTCTCGGGGAGGGGGTGCCGGGCAGACGTAAGGAGCCGTCGCTGGCCTCTGCCCAAGGCCTGGGGGACCATCTCCGCCTTACGTGCCCTGCGGGACTTTAGTAAGTTGGACAGGGCACGGACGTCACTTGGCGGAGAGTCCCACCGGGCTGGTTGCAGAGCGGAAAAGGCCTTGGGGCTGGTTCTTATCCACTGATCTTAATGCCCTTCGGGGGACATACCAGGAGAGGCGTTCCCAAAGGTACGTAGCAGGTTGCAAACCTGCTTGTAATTCTTGCTGGGAACAGAGCGTGGGGCGTTCGAGTGATCAGGGGCCTAGCCTCCCCAAAAAAACTCCTCTTTCCGACTTGTGACATTGTGAAACCCAGGGTGCGAAGCTCGCGAGTCAATGAGCTTCGGCTGGAGTTGGCTTAGAAGGAGACCCGGTCTGTACCAGTCAGATAAGGGGTCCCACGCTCGCACCGGCATTCTGACTCCCCACCCCCACCCCCACGACATCCTCACAACCAGTGTTCCCTCTAAGCTGTGGAGTCTTGGGAGCAAAAATCCCACTTTGTGAGCTAATGGCATTAAAGTTGTGAGCGAGCGATTTGGCCGCTGCAGCATAAATTAGTTTGCTCCAGAGCTATCTTTCCATTTTCCCCCCTCCAAATAATTAATTTTATTAAAAGATAAGTCAAGTATACATCAACAAGATTGCTGTTTAAACATTAATACAAACTGTAAGTGCAGATACATATCTCACAATGCCCGTCTATTAACTTGTCAGCAGGATCTTCCGATGACCCTATCCTTGTCACTTTCTTGTGATTTTCCAATCATTCTACTATTACTAAAGTGATAACGTATAATAAATCCAGATATATTTTAGAAGGACCTCAATAGTATTTTATGGGAGTGCTCAGACCATAAAAAATTCTCATAGATGTATCCATTCTGCATAGCCAGTATTTGCTGGTAAGACAAAAATGGGTGAGCCGGAGGCTAAAAAACTGTGAGCTGGCGCACACTCACTCGGCTTAGAGGGAACGCTGCTCACGACTGGTTTATATCAGGAAGAGCTGCTGTCGGCTTTAGGTCGGTCAGTTTGGGGCCTGCCGGTTACTGGGCCCGGCGTCTGAGTTTGATTTGTTCTGTCTGCCAGGGGCCCTGAAGAAAGCAGATGGGGAGCTGCAGAAAGCTGTAAGTCGGCTGGGAAAGGGGGGGGGGCTGGGACTCAGCCACGGACTGGGACCCCTCTGGCATTTCTGACTCGGCGGCTCTCTCCCCCCCCCCTTCCCGCGCAGTGTCTCATCGAAGCGGTCACCATCATGGACATCATTTGCAAGCAGGACTCCTCCTACGTCTACCGCTCCCTCTCCTGCCTGAAGATCTTGCACGGCCGGGTCAGCGGGGATCTCTCCTACGCACGGGTGCTGCTGCCCATTGCCCAGTTCTTCCTGAACCACAGTAAGCGGGGCAAGGGTCTCCAACACGGCGCCCGGGGGCGCCACGCTGCCTGCCAGTGCATTTCCGGGTGCCTGCCAAGCGTTTTTAGAACACGGGTGAGGCCAGGCGGGGCTTTGCCCAGCAGGGCTTCTGATTGGCCCTTGGAGATTTGATGGGCCCGTGCGGGCTTTTTGAAAACGTTGCTTTGGCAACAGCTTGCCCCTACAGCACAAGGACCTTCACTTTTTGGCGGAAGGTACAGCTGCGGTGGCTCAGGTGGTTAAGACGCTGAACTGCAGGCTGTGAAAGGTCGGTAGTTCAGCCGTTTGAGACCCGAGTTGCCGCATGATGGAGTGAGCTCCCGTCTCTAGTTCCAGCTCCTGCCAACCTAGCAGTTCGAAAGCAAGACATTGCAACTGCCAGTGCATTTCCGGGTGCCTGCCAAGCGTTTTTAGAACACGGGTGAGGCCAGGCGGGGCTTTGCCCAGCAGGGCTTCTGATTGGCCCTTGGAGATTTGATGGGCCTTTTGCGGGCTTTTTGAAAACGTTGCTTTGGCAACAGCTTGCCCCTACAGCACAAGGACCTTCACTTTTTGATGGAAGGCACGGCGAGGCAGCCATTTTCTTGTTGCACCCACCACGCTATGCAGCTCCGTAGCCCAAAATATTTGGTTGGTGGGGCCTGGGGAAATCGTGTGGGGCAGCGGGGCGTGTGTGTGTGTGCCTTCCCTGAACTCCAAGCGGCGATTTTGCCACTTGGAAATCAGGCATGGGCAGCCCCTGCTGGGAAAAAAACAGCATTTAAAGCAGCTGCCCCGCTCCCTCACCTCCTGCAAGATATAAAGGGCCCGCCGATCAGCTGGAGGACCCTTTAAATCTTGGAGGAGGGGAGGGAGAGGGCGGCTGCAAGATTTAAAGGGCCCTCCAGCTGATCGGCGGGGCACATGCTCCGCCGATCAGCTAGAGGGCCCTTTTAATGTCACAGGAGAGGGAGGGGAGGGGGGTAGAGGGGCAGCAGCTGTTGTGGGGCGGGCCTCTCGTTTGAGGGGGCAGAGCCCCTAAATGCCCCCACCATAGCAACGGACCTGATGCGTTTGACAGAATTCCACGTTCAAAAGGGTCGGGGACCCCCAAATTAGAGGGTGCCTCCTCCCCCTCCTCCCCAAGGCGATAAGGATAGTGCCCTTTTGCCTCGGGTCAAGGCCACGGGGAGGAGCAGCCTTCTGGGGCGGAAGCCACATTCCTGATGCACCCCCCACCGCCCAGGTGAGACGGCCGCCGTCGACTCGGAAGCGGTCTACAAGCACCTCTTCACCAAAGTGCCGGCCCAGCTCTTCCACAGCCCGATGCTGGCGTACGAGTTCGTCCAGTTCTGCCGACACAACGTCTCTTTCTTCGCGGAGCACTGCTGTGTCTTCCGCCAGAGCACCCCGAATCTGTTCAAGGTACGCTGTGCCCCGGGCCTCTCTTGGGCTTTGTCGTGGGTCTGCGTCTGACCTCTGGGGGGAACCCCACCCCCCCAAACACACCTTCACCTTGCCCTGGAATCTTTGCAGTTGACACATAAGGGGGGTCTTGTCTGCCCCTACTGAAGAGGAACTCTGTGGCACAGTTTGGGAACCAGTAACCTAGATCTGGTCTGGTCTGGTCTGAAAATTGGCAGGTACTTGAGCCAGTTTGGTGCAGTCGTTAGGAACAATGCTCCCTCTAAGCTGTGGAGTCTTGTGAGCAAAAATTCTACTTTGTGAGCTCCTGGCATTAAAGTTGTGAGCAGGTGATTTGGTTACTGCATAAATTGGTTGGCTCTGGAGCCCTCCTTCCTGAGCTAAGACAAAAATCTGTGAGCTGGAGGCTAAAAAACTGTGAGCTAGCTCACACTAACTCAAAACACTGGTTAGGAATGCAGACTCTAGTCTGGGAGAACCCGGTTTGATTCCCCACTCCTCCACATGCAGCTGCTGGTGTGACCTTGTGTCAGTTACAAGTTCTTTCAGAGCTGTTCTCTCAAGAGCAGTCCTTGAAAGAGCTCTCTCAGCCCCACCTGCCTCACAGGGTGTCTGTTGTGGGGAGGGGAAGGGAAAGGAGATTGTAAACCGCTCTGCGACTCCTTTGGGTAGTGAAGGGCGGGGTATGAATCCAGTCTCCTCTTCTTCTAAATTAGATGCTGCACATAGATTTCACTTGCCCACAACTCTTCTCCCGCAACACACAGCACGCTTCATCAGCCGAGCCCTTCAAACTTAAGATGTGCAGAATATTTTTTACTAATCCCTACACACAGACGCAAACCATTGATCTTTGCAATACTCAACAATTGTGGGACTTCCCACTTAAAATGCCCACCCCAGCATCCCGTGGAAGCCGACTCGGTAGCAGTTTTCACAGGTAACAATCCATCGCCCTGACCTGAATGGCCCAAGCTCAGGGCGGCTTACAGTCAGGCCTAAGCCAGTATCAAATATAAAACATTTTTAAAACCATTTAAAAACTCAACAGGACAATAGCATTATTATTAACAAAGTGCTCTGTTCTTCCACAAGGTGGCATATTACAACTACATAAGGTGGCATATTACAACTACATATTACAACTTCCACAAGGTGGCATATTACAACTACATAAGATCATGGAAGCCGTGGATAGCGCTTGGGTGGGAGACCACTAAGGAAGTCCAGGGTTGTTTCACAGAGGCAGGCGATGGCCAGACAGTCAGCACTTTCCATCACAGAACCATAGAATCCCAGAGCTGGAAGGGTCCCTAGAGGCCATCTAGCCCAACCCCCTGCTCAGTGCAGGATCAGCCTAGAGCATCCCTGATGAGGGTTTGTCCAGCCGTTGCTTCAAGACTGCCAGGGAGAGGGGGGCGCACCACCTCCCCAGGCAGCTGATTCCACCGTGGCACAACTCTGACTGACCAAAAGGTTTTCCTCGTAGCCAGCTGGTACCTTCCCATCCTGAACTGAAACCCGTTCTTGTGAGTCCTCTCCTCCACTGCCAACAGGAACAGCTCCCTGCCCTCCTCCTCTGTTGCGCTAAGCGCAAGAACAGTACATGGCAACTGTACAAGCCATATATACATAGTTCCACCAATCAGATACAAGCTGAGTCATGGTGACTGCACACTGTCCAGTGCCAGTCAGAACCGGTTGGGACTAGACTTATCACTCCACCTGCTGACAGGTAGCTGTCAGCGTAGATCACACAGATCTACCTGCTGGAGATTACCTCACAACATCCTCTGAGTGACAGCCCTTCAAATCCTTCGAGAGAGCCATCCTGTCACCCCTCGACCTCCTCTTCTCCAGGCCGGACATTCCCAAGTCCCCTCGGCCTTTCCTTGTAGGGCTTCTTCGTCTCCACCAACAATCCACTTGCCATCACTACTGTGAAGCCCGTATCATGCTCTGCCATGGCCTCCGGTGTCTATTTCAGGACCACTTCTTACCGCCAGCAATGTTCCCTCTAAGCTGTGGAGTCTTGTGAGCAAAAATTCTACTTTGTGAGCTACTGGCATTAAAGCGGTGAGTGAGTGATTTGGCTACTGCATAAATGGCCTTGCTCTGGAGCCATCCTTCCTGAGCTAAGACAAAAATGTGTGAGCCCCAGAGGCTAAAAAACTGTGAGCTAGCTCACACTAACTCAGTTTAGAGGGAACACTGACCGCCAGCACCCTTTCTTGTCTGAAAGGCCTAGCCGGTGCTCCCCCTTTCGATCGGCTTATCCCTCTGACCCCGGTGGGGAAATCCGCTTGGGATATCAAAGAAGAGCTGTCCTAGTCATGGCAAATGTCTTTTGTTTCCCCCCCCCCGCTGCAGTTCCTTGCATGGAATAGCCCAGCCCTGATTGCTGAGTTCATGGACCTTTTACCAGCCCTGCTCGGGGCAGATAACGCTGTGGAGATCTTTCACCTGTTGCTGGACCTGCCGTGTTTAACGGCTGCCTTGGACATCCAGTTGAGGTAGCGGCGCTCGCCCCGCCTTGCTATTATTTCCCAGTTGCATTCTCACGGAAGCCAAAGGCTTGGTTCACACGAACACATGAGGCTGCCTTATACTGTATCAGACCACTGGCCCATCAGACTGGCAGCGGCTCTCCAGGGTCTCAGGCACAGAGGTCTCTCCCATCACCTATTATCTGATCCTTTTAACTGGCGATGTCGGGGATTGAACCGGGGACCTCCTGCATGCCAAGCAGAGGCTCTTCCACTGAGCCAGAGTCTCAGACACAGGTCTTTCCCATCACCTCCTACCTGATCCTTTCACCTGGAGATGCCGGGGATTGAACCGGGGACCTTCTGCATGCCAAGCAGAGGCTCTGCCACTGAGCCACGGCCCCTCCCAAAAGCAGTGGTGGTGGTGGTGGGGATCCAGTCTGCACTGATATACTTTCAGAAATTGGAGAGCTCCACGCAGCCCAACTCATCTTAGGGTTCTCATGGACACGGCAAGTGATGCAAGAGTCCATGTATGTTCCCAACCTTTCCCCAGATGTGCCCAGATGCCGATGTCCGAGCGGACTGCTTTGGACCCAGGGCTGAAGCCGTCCACCTGCCTGGAAGCCTTCCGTCACCCACAGTACCGGGGCCTCTTCCAGTACCTCCTCCGGGTCGAGTCTGCTCCGGGAGATGCTGGCAGGTAAAAAAGGAAAAGTTGCCGAAATGGGTGGGTTGGGTTCTTTGCTTTTGGGGGCTCCCTTAGTACAGGGTATGGTGACGAAGCGACACTACTGGCACCGGCTGAAGTCCTGCGTGACAGGATGGATTTCTTGCAGGGTTCCTACCCCTTGAGGCACCCAGTAGCTGTGTGGCTCTTTTTGGGTGATAGTAATTGTGAGCCATGGACTAAGTAAAGGTAAAGGTTCCCTCGCTCGAAAGCCAGTCGAGTCCGACTCTAGGGTTGCGGTGCTCATCTCCGTTTCCAAGCCGAAGAGCCAGCGCTGTCCGAAGACGTTTCCGTGGTCATGTGGCCGGCAAGACTAAAAACCAAGGTACCACTCGATTAAATATAAGAACCAATCTTAGGTGCCTCTCTGACCCATCAAATCTGGGTTTGTCGCTCTGTTTCCTTAAAGGAGAGCAATAAGAAACAGAACACGCAAAGCTGTGTATGGACACTAAATGAACAAATACTAGCCAATTGTATGCAAATTATATAGTGTAGGACAATGAAATTTCAGTCAGTACAAGATATAGTACAAAATGTACAACAATGGTCCAAAACGGTAGAGTGATGAAATTTCCGGATAATGTATTCGTTTTGTGAGTCGTCTCCTAAACAGGATCGATTTTTCTGTTTGTTGAACATTTTTTCTGTCTGTTGAACAAATCTGTATACAGTTAATAGATCGACAGTCTTCATACAAGAAGAACAAATTCTTATGCGAGTTTGCAAGGCATATCAGAAATCTAAAGTCGGGCCATCCCATTCACTTTACTGTTTTGGGTTTTTGTTGTACATGTTATACTATATTTTGTAGTGATTGAAATTTCATTGTAATACAATATATGATTTGTATACAATTGGCTAGTATTCGTTTGCTTAGCATCCATGCACAGCTTTGCGCGTTCTCTTTCTCATTGTTTATTAGAGGCGGTGGTTCTCTATTTTTTTGCGTCCTAAAAGGAAAGCGGCAGCGACTTCTGGCTCTTAGGCGAGTGTTTAGAAACATGCGTTATAAAGGTACATGTGTCCAGGGTTCCCTCTAAGCTGAGTTAGTGTGAGCAAGCTCAGTTTTTTTAGCCTCCGGCTCACACATTTTTGTCTTTGCTCAGGAGGGATGGCTCCAGAGCAAACTAATTTATGCAGTAGCCAAATCACTCGCTCGCAACTTTAATGCCAGGAGCTCACAAAGTGGAATTTTTGCTCACAGGACTCCACAGCTTAGAGGGAACATTGCATGTGTCTATCACGTTGATACGTTTTTAGTTAAGCATTCAGCTATGAAACATGGGGTGCAGAGACAGTGGCGTTTTGCTACTTTAGTTCCTTCTCCACCCTCCCAGTTATCTGATAGTTAGACTACACGCCTCAATCTAAGAAATGGGCCCCTAGTGGTCCCTGGAACCATACCGTTCTTCACGTATTCGACAGCACAAGAAACCAGAACGATATCGCCACCCGCTGAGCGTGAGGTATCTCCACGATGCACTTCAATGCACCTCAGTGCTGTTCAGTCCAAATGAAGCCAGGCTCGCTGCTAGATGTTGGTGGCGTCTTGGGGTGTGTGTGTGTGTAAATGGGAGCTGAGGGGCCTAAACGGTTTCGTGCGGCAGAGAGATAGCAAGCAGAACCCCAAGAAGACCAATGGTTCTGGTGGATTTCTTCCATCTGTAACGGGGACTCCACGAGTCTTGTAAGTCACGTAACTTAGCACTGATTGAGCATTCCCTAAAGGTCTTCAAAACGCTTCACATAACCTCAGCTCAGCAACTTACAAGGTAGACCAGGGTTGTTTTACAATCGGGGGGGGGGGGCCCTGAAGCTAAATATGAATGCTTTGATTAGGGTCACCCCACTGCAAGAGAGAGAGACAGACAGAGAGAGAGTCTTTCCCAGTCTGACCGGAGGGAAGGAGTTCTGGGAGCAGCCAGAAAGCCCCCAAACCTTGATGGCCTTTTGCTGGTTTCCTGCCTGCAGGTTGACTCCCCTCCGCCAGCTCCTGGGCCCCATGGCCAGTTCCCCCCGCGTGGTCCTGTGTGCCGAGAGCGTCCCCGTCTTACTGCGGCTCTTCTTTGGAGTGGTGGCTGAGGTACGGCTCCTCTCTATGCAGACGTTTAGGGTTAAAGCGGTCAACCAGGCATAGCACTAACCTCGGATTAAGGCACCACGGATCTGACATTTGCACCAGACTGAAAGGAGGGCGATAATAGATCTGTTGGTATTTTTGGCAGGATGGGGGTAGAGCTTGCAACATCAGAATGTCCCGGGCTTTTCGGATTGGCCTGTTAAGTCAGAGGACCTGGCCAGACTAAGACAGTCCCCCCCCCCCCCGAACCTAAAAACATCAGAAGAGACCAGGGGGCCATCCCCCAAGAACATAAAAACATCAGAAGAGACCAGGGGTCCATCCAGTCCAGCATCCTGAACCTGAGAAGAACATCAGAGGAGCCCTGCTGGGTCAGACCAGTGAGAGTCCATCTAGTCCAGTCTCCTGTCTCACACAATGGCTTCAACCAGTTCCTCTGGAGGGCCAACTGCAGGGGAAAGAGGCCGAGGCCTTCCCCTGAGAAGAACATCAGAGGAGCCCTGCTGGGTCAGACCAGTGAGGGTCCATCTAGTCCAGCATCCTTTCTCACACAGTGGCCAGCCAGTTCTCCTGGAGGTCCAACAACAGGGCATATAGGCCGAGGCCTTCCCCTGATAAGAAGAAGAGAGAAGAAGATATTGGATTTATACCCCACCCTTCACTTGGAGTCTCAAGCTGTTCTGAGACTCCTTTGGGTAGTGAAGGGCGGGGGTATAAATCCAATCTCTTCTTTTTCTCTCTCTTAACCTGTTCGCAATCTCTCCGTCTCCAGTTTGCGGACGGGGCCCTCGCCAACAAGCTGGTCTTGGCGTTGCTGGAGCGGAGCAGCCAGCTCTACGAGATCCCAGCGTTCCAAGCCGAGATGCACCAGTGAGTCTAGGATGGGAAGGGGAACCGGGGCCTGAGAACGCACGGGTGCCTTCCGAGGGGAGGGCCAGGGAGCCGCCAGTCCCGGCAAAAGTGGCGGAAGCTCTGGGAAGATGCAGTGTTGTCCAGTCGGCCCTTGATTTTTCTCACCCTCTCTCTCCAAACTGGCTCTTGTTGATTTAGCACGCAGAGCGTCTTTCTTACTTCTTCCCGCTGGTTTTCTGCTGACGGCCCAGGAGCCTTGGTTAATGCCTCCTCCCCTCTGTGCCCAGCAGAACGTGGTACAGTCGTTGTTGAACTAACGGAGCACCTGATCAATGTTCCCTCTAAGCTGTGGAGTCTTGTGAGCAAAAATCCTACTTTGTGAACTACTGGGCATTAAAGTTGTGAGCGAGCGATTTGGCTGATGCACTAAATTAGTTTGCTCAGGAGCCATTCTCCTCCTGAGCTGAGACAAAAATCTGTGAGCCGGAGGCTAAGACCCTGTGAGCTAGCTCACACTAACTCAGCTTAGAGGGAACACTGCACCCGATGCTGTGCTGGGGATCTCCTGAGAACCAAGCGCTCGCCTGTCTGCATAGCCATGCCAGTCCGTCTGCAGGGCCCTCCCATAGCCAGGATGTTTTGTTTGTTTGGGGGGGCATTTACAATTTTAAGGGGACAGTCCAATGACAGTTAATTAGATCAATCTGGACGTGGGTCTTTAAAGGGGAGGCCCCCCTGTAGCCAGGATGTATAGTTTGTTTGTTTGTTTGTTTGGGGGGGGCATTTACAATTTTAAGGGGACAGTCCAATGACAGTTAATTAGATCAATCTGGACGTGGGTCTTTAAAGGGGAGGCCCCGGAGCCTGTTTGTAGCCTGTCAAGATAAATTGATGTGCATGTTTTCCCAAAGGCTCACGGGAGTGCTTTTGAAAGACTCACCACGGCCTAGGTCAGGGTTGCCACTTTCTGGAAAGTCAGGGAAGTGAAAATTGGTCAGGGGAAGTCAGGGAAATCGTGATTAAAATGTATTCAAGCAGTGGATTTTTGACCTGCCGCTGCAAGAGCACAATCTGTCCTTGTGGCAACTGGAATAGAGAAGGAGCGTGAGATAGAACGTTTATATAATTTTTAGCGTACCTTTAAATAAAACAATAACAAAAATGTTACGCCATTTGTTAGCATTCAGAGGTTACTTGAATTGAAATTTGTACCTTGGTGTGATTTTTGGTGCAATTGCAGAACAGATGTTGCTGCAGTTAACATTGAAAGAAGCCGCTATTCAATCTCTTTGACAGATATTTTCGCAGTTGAGGCTTGTGTAGTTGCAGAGTGGAACCTTACCTTGCATTCATGCGGTACGACCAGTGTCCCCTCTAAGCTGAGTTAGCGTGAGCTAGCTCAGTTTTTTAGCCTCCGGCTCACACATTCTTGTCTTAGCTCAGGAAGGAGGGCTCCGGAACTAACTGATTTATGCAGTAGCCGAATCGCTCGCTCACAACTTTCATGCCAGTCGCTCACGAAGCTACTGGGTCAGTCACAAGTTCTCCCGGAGCTGTTCTCTCAAGGGGAGTCCTCGAAAGAGCTCTCTCAGCCCCGCCTACCTCCCGGGGTGTCTGTTGTGGGGAGGGGAAGGGAAAGGAGTTCGTCAGCCGCTCTGAGACTCCTTCGGGTAGTGAAGGGTGGGGTATAAAACTATCTCCTCCTTTCCCTGGCAGAGTGATGGGCGCGCAGCTGCCGATTCTGTGCAAACAGCACCCGTCGCTGGTAGTGGAACTGGCCAAGCCGCTCCTGGAGTTTTCGGGAACGGTCACCAACCTTCAGAGTAAGGAGGGGATCTTCACCCACGTGGTAAGGAGCAATCTATCCGCTGGACAGGCGGGTTCTCCGGTTATCCGTGTCGAATGCTGAGGGGGTTCCCTCTCAAATCCACTTTGCAGGGGTAAAGCTGGGAGCATGCCAAAGAGTACTATTGTCCCCTTAATAGCCTTCCTTTGAAATGACCGTATTTGTGGTCTGCAGTGTTCCCTCTAAGCTGAGTCAGTGCGAGCCAGCTCACCGTTCTTTAGCCTCCGGCTCACACCTTTTAGTCTTAGCTGAGGAAGGATGGGGCTCCAGAGCAAACCAATTCATACAGTAGCCAAATGGCTCACAACTGTAATGCCAGGAGCTCACCAAGTAGGATTTTGGCTCACAAGACCCCACAGCTTAGAGGGAGTCTGCATGTTACCAAAATATCAACAACGGCACTCTTTTTTTTTTTGAGATTGTGAATATTTACGGTATTCCCCCCAAAAAAAACCCAAAAAAAGTTAACCAGCATATGTTTTTTCACCACATTTTAACACCCCCCAAGCCAATTTGGCTCACAGCCCCAGAGCAGATAAGTTCGGCCAGTGCTTCCCTAGTGAGCCCTTCCGGCTGCCCCAAGAGAGGCTGAGTGTCTCCGCCCCCTCCCGTCTGACCCCGCCGTCTCCGCCCCCTCCCGTTTGACCCCGCCGTCTCCGCCCCTTCCCGTTTGACCTCGCCCCCTCCGCCCCCTCCTGTTTGACCTTGCTTTCCCGACAGGTCTGGGCCATTGGGGAGTACGCCTCGGTCCAGCATGACCGGCGGTGCACGGCGGAGCAGATCAACAAGTTCTTTGAGGCCCTGGAGGCCATGCTCTTCGAGATCACACAGCTGCGGCCCTCCGCCAGCCTCCCCCGGCACGCCCCCCGCGTCATCACCGTCCTCATGACCGCCCTGACCAAGCTGGCGTCGCGCAGCCAGGACCTGATCCCAAGGTTTGGAATGGGGAACTGGGGGGGGGGGGGGGGGGGGGCCGTAGCTCCGGCGGGGCTGTTGGGGGCTCCGCTCCCTCCCTTAAGGGGACAGCCCCACAAGCCAGTTTGGTGTAGCGGTTGGGAGCGCAGACTCTAATCCGGGAGAACCGGGTTTGCTTCCCTACCCCTCCACATGCAGCTGCTGGATGACCTTGGGCAAGCCCTAGTTCTGATAAGAGCTGTTCTCTCAAGGGCAGTTCTGTCAAGAGCTCTCTCGGCCCCACCTACCTCACAGGGTGCCTGTTGTGGGGAAGGGAAGGGAAAGGAGATTGTAAGCTGCTCTGAGACACCTTTGGGTAGTGAAGGGCGGGGTATAAATCCTATCTCTTCTCCTCCTCCTCCTCACAGGGTGTCTGTTGTGG